TGAAAATTCACATCCGCGGATTCGGATAGAGATGCTTAGAAAAGAAAGAAAATCATAAGATTTTTTTAAGATAATTCATATGGGTGCAGATACATATAAAGCAAGTAGTATAATCTTTAATATTTATAATAAATAATCAAATATTTAATAATTAAATGAAAAAATATTGCATTATATTTATTAAAAACCGGTGAAGTGCATGTCGGGCCACGCGCACTGTAAGGTTCCCTAAATGACCGTCACAATATGCGGACTAGGAAAGGTTTTTCTTCTTTAATTTTATGAACCTGTTAATTGAGTTCACGGTTCATCGACTAATAACGTTTAAAAACGGTCCTTAATAAGACGGATGTTAAAGATATTATAATTTTATATTTAAATATTTTTAAATGGTTCATAAACTTATATTTACTACCTATTTTACATAACGAATAACGTCATTAACTCCTTTTCAAACGTTTTAGTCACAGTTTTTTTTACTTCTTTATATATACTACTGTCGTAAATTTTAGAATAACCGTTTACCTGGTACGGGAGGCTAACTTAAAAATTAGCTTAGCACTTTGTTAATAATTTAATTATAAACGATTAGCCTGATATTTCATAAACGGATCCTTAATTCGACAAATGATTTTTACATACTTGCGATGTTTTTGAATTAACTATTCAACGACATCCCATATTATGGGATACACAAGAAAAAAAATCATTCCCACTTTTTATACAAGGGAGGTATCGTAAAGATTTTTTTTAGATTGTATTCTATAACTTTGTCAGCATGAATAATAAGTGTACCCATACCAAATGACAGCTTTCTAGTACTTCGAGCTAAGCCACGGACAGACAGACAAACGGACTAACGGACATGACGAAACTACGGACTTGTTGACTACGGAACCCTAAAAAAAACCATTGCCGTCTTCTCAGGTTCCAGTCTGTTTTGCAAAGTTTCTTAAATTTAGGCCACGGTACTGAATAATTGTTCACTAGAAACACTGGTCAATGGTGGTGATAAAAATGTGGGTTGTATTGTTGATAATATTTTTGATTCCTCTCGATGAACGCTCCACCATTTATGTGAATTTTCCTTTACATCGAGCCTTTTTTTGTTGCGGTAAGATAGCAATTTTGTGTACAATGCCAGTGCTATAATTTTCTGGTGTTTCTTGTCTATGATCTTGAATTGGCTAGTCGCTTTTTAAACATGGCCTTCAGTCCGTACCAGATCTCTCTAGTTAATCCCTATCTTTTTCCTAGGAATCTTTCATTCTCATTCTTTTAGCCTCTTCAGAATTAAGAGAACATGAAACATACACTGGGGTATAAACGAGAATGGTGAGTGGCATAGAAAACGGAATCGAAAATTTGAGCCAAAGCGATAGACAGCCTCGGAGCCAAGAGTGGTATCCAGATCGAAACCAAAACAAAAAAAAAAACCATTTCAACCTTAAACTAATACATGTTGTAAGCTTTATTTAGTTCGGTTTGCCAATTATAGAGTTAGGTATAATTGTTATTCCTTAGAAACTGTGCATTTTTTCGCAATTGAAGGTATCCATATCATTGTTCAGCCTGTAAACTATCTCTGCGCAACATATCTATGCGTTACTTCTTTGCTGTGTGATAGAAGGACGAACCAAAGGACCCGTAAACATACCTTTCAGATATACAATATTGTTATATATTCATTGACAACTTAATTGTGATAAGTTAAAATGTTTTCTTTGGTTTTGCACGTTTCAATTTGAAACCTATATTCCAAATTGAATTGGTAAATCTAGGAGTTATGTAATCGTATAAAGGTGAAAAACCTGGTGAGAAAACTAGTCTACTTTACTCGGCACTGAGTTGTGTTGACGCCACCTTTGATGAATACGATACGTCATACCTTGGTTCTACATTACGCCCACTTTGGTTGCATTTTTATTTTGTAACTGAATTTGCTTATGACCTGGTTTTGGTGGTGCGTCCTCTGTTCGTTTAATAGCCTCTAAATTGTTATTATAATAAATAAGAGCCATTACCACTAATTCATTACTTATAGACAAAAAAAAATGTCTCAGAAATTTCCAAAAACCATGTGACCATCTATGCAATGATTAGCAAAAAATAAATTCGGGATATAATATTCTATTATCAAGAAAATATTTTACGGAATCATAATTTTATCGAATAAAATTTCAAAATGTGTTTATTTATTAGGTTATAAAATAACACTCAAAATTAATATGATTTTAACAATTTGCTAAATTATCATCCGTTTGTAATTTTTTTTTTCTCAAGGAAAATAAGCTAAGGAAGGTAAATTTTTATGGTTCCGAGCCAAAATGGCAAAAACGGAGCCCTTATAATTTCTTCATTTCCGTCTGTCCGTCCGAATGTCACAGACATTTTATTCAAACACTACAAAACGTATACATATGAAATTTATAATGTAGATGTTTTGTATGAGACGCTACTTAGAGTTTGGTAGTTAAATAACAAAAATAAATATTTCCAGGGGGGACACTCTATACATAAAGGAAAAGCTGAATTTTTTTTTTAGGAAATATCTACGAGTGGCACATATTTCGGTAGTTTTCTCAAAAAAACTTTAAGGTTTCTAAGCAGTTTTTCTGATTATGTGAATAATTTCAAAAATAATCGCTCTGAAATTTGCTGAAATTGTCCCCCCTTCTATTTTCTAAACCGTATGTACAAAAATTATTAAACAAATAACGATTATAACGCTTATCAAATACTTTCAACGAAAATTATTTCGAACATGGTCGGATATCCTACTTTTTTCGAGTTATTGCCAAAAAACTGCGCTTCTCAACAAAAGGACATAAGTGCCATGAAGATACGCTCTTTTGCTGATGCGCTTTAGTTCACCCTAGTTTAACAGTAATAGTCGACGTACCTACTTATTTTAGTAAAGTACTTATAACTATTCTGTGCGGGGTATATGGAAAAAGTGTAACAACGTACTTTTTTCACCTGCAGCGCATTTCTTTGTAATAATGGCTTGGGAACCTTAATGAGCATGGTTCGACTTGCCCTTGGCCAGTTTTTCAAACTGGATTATTTACAATCACAATGAAATATGAAATTACAGGTAAAAAACATACTTTTTAGAAGTCGAGATGAGGTATTTATATTTATGGATATTTGTCCTATAAATGTTTGGAAATTTTGTATAACACACATTTTACGAAGTATTTATTTATTGCTAAATCTTATTAATATTATATATGTGGACGTTTGTATGTTTGAATGTTTGTTACTCAATCACGTTTTTACGGCTTAACAGAATTATCTGAAATTACAGTGGTATAGTTTATACATCAGAATAACGTATAGGCTGTAATCTATAAATATACTAACTTTTGCTTGCGACTCTGCTTGCGCGATCGTAGAACGAATTCTTCATGTACGCCGATCGGTTATCGGTAACAACAACGTTCAGAGAGATTCAAGTTCAGTGTCGGTCGGTGTCGTAATCGCGAGCAGGACCGGGATCAGGATCAAGAGCGGAGGTGTGACCGTTTCATAACTAAAATATTTGCGTCATTACGTGAGTTTCTGGTGTGAGAATGCGTGTTTTTCTGGCGTGGAATCGAGCACGGGCCGAGATCGGGATCATGGTTGGTGGCGTCATCGATCGATGTAAAAGATGCGGCCGGAGCTGCGGGTGAATTGTGTTGTACCTGTATTTTGAAAAGAAACAGAATCTAGATCGGGATCAGAATTGGAATCAAAACCAGAGCTAGGACTACAATCGAAATCAGACATGATGTCAGAAGCGCAGTGAACAGAGTGATCGGTCGAAATAATTTGAAAGATTTGATTGATCTACATGCAGGCGGAGCTGTGGACAAAAGTTAGTATATATATAAATATTTATATATATACTAACTGTAAATTTATATATTGCAAATATTACTCTTACATTAAGTGTAAATTTTGTATATCAACAGAGGCTTATTGAGAATGCGCATAAGGAGTTCTCTTAAATAGTTCTTAGAATTTTGTAGTCGATTAATATGTGAATACAGTTTATTTTTAGGGTTCCATAGTTTCGCCATATCCGTCTATCTGTTTGTCTGTCTGTCCTCGGCTTAGCTCAGAGACTCTTAGTATTAGAAAGCTGTAATCTGGATATATATACATATTAATGAAGCCGATAAAGTGGTAGAACAAAATCTAAAAAAATAAAAAAAATAATGGTACCTCCCCTACATTTAGAGCCGGTATAATTTTTTTTTCATCTATCCCTTGATGTTGGGTATCGTTGGATAGGTGATTCAAAAACATTGAAGGTCTGTGGAAACCACCGTTTGCAAATTTTAAGCTTTGAAGTGCTAATTGTTGTTAGGGTAAAATGTCCCTCCCCTTCCAGGTAAATGGATGTATTTGGGGATGTGAAAAAAATCACGGCAGTTGTATAATCGAAGTTAAAAGAAAAAACTCATGAGGTGCGTAAATGTATTTTATGAATTTAATAATAACAAAGAAATTAATCAGAAAGTTTGAAAGTATATTAAATAAGTAATAATAATTATGCAATTGAATGAATGATAAGAAATATTTGTAAATTGTATCTAAACTTTTTTCTTATTAGCTATTAAAATTATAAAAAAAAGCACTAAACAGCGCCATCTGTTTTATTTGTCAAAAACTTTTGTTAAGTTCGTCAATTGGCACAATTATATAATTATGAAATCAATAATAAATGTCACTTTCACATATTTGTGTAAGTATTTATTTATTGAAAGTTTAAAACTGAATACTCTCCAGAACAGAAACAATTCAATAGTTTAATTTAATATTTTAGGACAAAAATTATAAGTTATGTACAAGCACAATGAAACAAATTAAGAATCTTCGAAACTAATGAAACGAAAAATACAAAAAAAAAAAGAATGAAGTAATTAATGATAATAAAATATTATGATAAAAATTATGATTAATATTTTATTATAAATTACCATAAAAAGAATGCAACACCAAAAGACCAACATCACGCGGTGTTTCCCACGCGGCCACTCATCTTAGTACTGACCGCGCCCAACGCAGCTTAACTTCAATGATCGGACGAGAACCGGTGTATTCAGCGTGGTATAGATCTTGGAAAGCAAATTTGTAAAAATGCTAACTAAAACAACAGCGGTCAGAATTTTTCATTGCGGTTACACGTTTTTCCGTGTAGCTCCCGTCCGCCGAGCGCCTGAGTGTAACGTGCGTTATGGAACTTCGTTCCGAAACTATTACAGTTAAGTAGACTTTATAAGTTAACCGAGCAATAGTCTACCGATTTATGGAATAAACTTGAGGAAGTAAAAAAGGAAATTTCGTATAAATTCCATTGAAAATTATTTAGATGACGTTGTTAGTTGTGTAAAATAGGTAGTACATATAAGTTTATGAATCATGTAAAATTAAGGGAATATAAAATCGTAACAGCTTTAACATTTGTTCTACGTGAGCCCGATTTAGGTCATTAGCCGTTAATCCGTGAACTAAATTAATGGGTACGTAGTATCAAAATAAAAGCCCTCTTCTTCGTTCGCATATTATTACGAGCAACTACGTAACCCTACACTGCGCGTGATCTGACACCCATTTGGTCGGCTTTTATTTCACGTATTGAATTTACCCCATTGTTTACTATTTTTTACTACTTTTTTTGAATCTTTCCAAGTTTTTTTCTTTATTTACATTAAATTTTCGAGTATCTCTAAATTGAGATACTCGAGATTTCATTTTGAATTAGCAGTTTAGTGTTGTTGAAAAAATTGTATCTGTTGTTGACCGTATGTAATTCGTGTGTAAGTCGATTATACACAGTCCCAAAAAATAAATTAGAACTTAAAATTGATTATAAAAGATAACGAACTGTAATCCATGAAAGGTTCTTTGCCATCTTTTGCAATACAGAATTAAAATATACTTATTCTATAAGGCGCTATTAAACACATGTTACTAAAACTCGCCCTGTCTAATTGGTTATTTAAAAGCAGTCATTACTCGATTATTTTTATATTGACCTAAAAAGAAATAATCCCTAAACTCTTATTAAAGTATACTTTTTTTAATATAGTATGTAAAAAAATAATAATAAACTGCCCTCTAAATTTCTTAAATTTCTATGTATTCGACCTGAAATCCAGAAACAGTATTAAGCAGTCATTTTAATCTGTCAATTATTAACACTTACGTACATATATAAGGTTTACAGAATTATTTTTTTACTTAGACAATAAATCAATACTCTTAAGTTTGTAATTTTGAGATCACCTATGGCCTATGTATTATTATGGCCTAGTGTGTAGGTATATATGTGTGGTATATTATTTACGTGAAAGAGATCCATGAATACGTTTCTGAAAACCTAACTACTTTTATGAAAATTATCTACACGGTTAGAATAAAAATTGTTTTTTTTCCCACTTTAGTATCTTGTATAAAGTGGCCTGATTTTGGAAAGGTGACTATTCCGCCTTGTAATCCATGCACTTAACAGGTAGTGTGTTTTATAGATTCACGTTCATTTTACAATTCCTACATCCACCTATATACATCCAAGATCCATTTTTTTTTATTTTCAACCCCGGGCTGATTTCGTAGTTACCGATTTGAGCAAAAATAAAGATTGCCTCGGAACGCGCTTACATAAAATATTTTCACCTTTATTTCTATATGCCTAGGCTCGGACACCATTTTTTCGCGGCTCTGATCGCTTTAAAAAAAACGAGTTACCGATATAGGTTGTAAGATCGAGTGTTTTTTTTTGTAGCTAAAATTTATCACTTCAGCGTTCCTATACTCTCAGACTTCGTTTTGGGTTCCAGGTCTATAAAAGAATACTCGAAGTCATTAGCTCGTAAATTGCCCCAATGACCCGCTTCTGTGGTGTTTTAGGTTAAGGCGATGCCCTGATGGGAAGAGGGGGGAATCCCCGCGCCTTCACATCACCAATCACGGGCACCTGACTGACGAGTAAACGTGTAAGACTATTGGCATACGAAAAATAAAATAGCAGTGCGCGTGGTTTCTCAATGAAAGACGTAAGCACAAAACCACAAAAATTTAAAATTACGCCAATAAATACAAAAGTGTTTAACCGGTTTGTCGACAATTGTTAGTACCATTGTCCTGAAAAAGAAATAAAGAGAAATCCGTCACCGATTCCAAATAACAGCTAAAAGGGAAAATTATCAGGGTTAATTTGAAATTTAATTTTATCGGAAAAAATTGTCAATCGTGTATTCTTTTTACAGTACACTAATTTTAAAAAACATATACCTCAAAACCAAATTTGTAACTCATGCATTTAATGAGAACGAGGAACTGCGTCACGTTTATTTCATTTTAACTATGTGTTCATAGGGATATATTAAATTGAATTTACAATCGAATAAGAAAAAAATAAACGTCATTTATATATATGTATTAGAAAATAACATTTATTATGTGTCAGCTACAATTTATATATATGTATTACGAAAATTATTACGTGCCAGCTACAATTACAGCTGCGTGGAAGCTAAAATTTTATTTGAATTTTATACAAAAAAAAAAATAAAAAATCATAACTAACTGATAATAACAAACTCCATCACTTTCTTTTTGTATATATTGGAATGAAATTTGTACACTTTTCTACGACACAATTCAACATTTTATTTTGTCAACCTGACAGTTGGCAATCAAACAAAAATTACCTGATGTTTAATATTATTTATCGTTATAGAAAGTAATAGTACATCTATAAATAATATTGTACGTAAAATGTTAATTTTTGCTTTAAGAGGTTAATTTTGTAGGAAAATGGGATATCAAGATTTTTTTTTTTTTTTTAAATCATCATGGTATTAAAGGATGTCAATTAAAAATTTGTAAAAGGGTTATTTTAAAGATGTGTAAATATATTTTTTAATGTGTAACATCTTTTCTCTCGTTGTCCTGCAATTTTTTTTTTTTTGCTGCGCAGGAAGTGTAAAAATCTTCACGGACGAAAGATACCCGGCCACGCGACCTATGAGCCGGGTTATGTGGGATTTTTACCCACTAAAAAGCACTCCCTAGGGGTGACTCTATCGTTAAAGCTATTACTATGACCATAGTACTCATAAGCTTTGCCGGGCGTCAAAGCGAAAGCTACAAACAATGCACTCGGGTGCAATGTACAAAGTTTGGGGACTTCGCGTCGCGTGGGTGAGTGAGAGTGTGATTATTGACCGAGTTTACCGACTCAGTGTGGGATGACTAGTGACTTTATTTTGGGCGGATTAGAATTTGTTATTTTTAATCGCCTCCACGAGCGGGGCGTGTTCGGCTAAAATTAAGATTTTTTCCACGGGATTCGCGGCGGTCTTGAATTTATTTGCGAGAAGCACTACTTCCCCAATGTCGATGATAGAGATCACCGACATCAGGGCTTTAATGTTCTCGGAGGGGGTGAGATTAGTTTTTATTTGGGGTGGCGGGTCCGTACAGGGGCCTGCCGTCGCTTTCGCGTAGGATAGTTTATGCGTTACTGCGCGCGCGGGCGCTCGACGCGGCGCGGCTTGAGCGGGTGGAGGGGGGATTTTATTTTTTAGCGGTGTAATCCTCTTAGGCGCGCGAGGACAGCCTAAGTAATTAGCCGTGTGGCCGGATGATTTGCAAAGGACACAGGCGGGCGGCCCGTCTGTGTCTTTGTTTCGCGTGCATGCGGCGGTGCCGTGGTCGCCCAGGCACTTTACGCAGCGCGCGCGTTGGAAACAGTTTTTGGACGAATGTCCATACATTTGACAATTAAAGCATTGTCCAGGAATGCTTTTCTTGTGGGGTTGCTCCACTTTCACACCTGAAAGGGAGCATACCGCTTTGATGCGGTAGAAGGACCGTTTCGTTTCTTGGTCGATGCCTGTGTTAGCTGTTACTAACACTAGGTCCAGAGGCTCTCGGGCGCGGTTAGTGATCCGTCGCACCGATTGTACAGGGAGGTCCTGCGTTAACAGGTCCTCCTTGACCTCTTCGGTGGGGATTTCTTTTGGTACTCCCCGGAGGACGACGCGGAATTCGCGTTCCTCCTTTAGGGAGTAGGTATGGTAAGCGACTTTGAGCGTCGCAAGTAATGAGGATAGATTTCGGAAGTCCGTGACGGACTCCGGTTGAATTTTTTAGGCCTTTAATTGAGTTGCGGCCGTTCAGGATGACAATGCCTTTGCTATCGCTTTGTTTTTTGACTTCGGTCCAGCGTCCCTTATCATGAATGAAACGGGGCGGTGGACGTTGGGGTTTTGCCGGGGCGGGGGGGACGATTTCGTCCGCCTCGTGGAGTGTGACCGTGGGGGCCGTTGCCTTAGTAGGCTGAACAGTTTTTCTCCAGCTCTCTGGAGCGTCGTAAATCGACTTAGCCGATTTGTCGGGGATTGTTGGTTTTGTTTTGGGGTTGGCCGTTTTAGGCTTTTTGGAAGACGGGGTGATCCGGTAGTAGGTGGATCCGTCGCCCGCTTCCGTGAGGTAGGACGTTGCGGTTTTTGGCCGCGAAGCTTTGCGGCGCCGTACTGTTGTGAACTCGGAGAGATCCGAGTCGTCACTCTCACCGGCGTCGGAGTCGGAGGAGGAGGAGGTAGAGCCCTCAGACGGGCGAGCGGCAGCTGGCCGCTTACTGGGCTCTTTATTGGTGTTGAGTTCGACCTCCATCTCGAGGTCGGGGTTGGGTTGCTCGGGCGAGGCTGGGGAGGAGCAGTACGCTTCGAAATCTTTAAGGAGGTCGAGGAGACCGCGTTCAGCGAGGAATTGTTTTAACCGGTGGCTATCCATTGCGGTAGCCGCGAGAGTGCTCGGCCTTGGCTAAACGCTCCCGCAGCGCCACGTGGGATTTCGCGACGCGACGACCGCACAGCGCGCGGGCCGGTCGTATAGCAGAGACGGTAGAGGGCCGCGAGGGACGCGGAACGCGATGCGGTAGGCCGCAACGGAGCGCCGCGGCGGTGTCCGACGCGTGCACAGCGCTCGGCGCGACCGCGCAACGGGGGCGGTCGCGGCGCTGCGAACTAACACGTGGACGAAACACGAAACGTAAACACGAAACGTAAACGTGCCGGTTGTTGACACCGTTAGGTTACCCCGGC